TCCAACCGGTCAGTCCTAGAGGAGATCAACCCCGACTGCTCTTTAGAAGGCCAGATCCTGAAGTTGAAACTCAAGTACTTTGGCCACCTAATGAGAAGGAAGGACTCCCTGGAGAAGAGCCTGATGCTGGGAAAGATGGAGGGCAAGAGAAGAAGGGGACGACAGAGAAGGAGGTGGCTGGATGGAGTCACTGAAGCAGTAGGCGTGAACTTAAATAGACTCCAGAAGATGGTAGAGGACAGGAAGGCCTGGAGGAACGTTGTCCATGGGGTCGCGATGGGTCGGACACGACTTCGCAACTAACAACAACAACAGACACTATCTGACCAGATCCATGTGTATGTAGAGTTCAAGCTACTACTTCATTGCATTCTGCCTATAATACAGGAATCTTCCCGATCCTTCACGAATTAACTAGGGAAACATTTTAGGATAGTACAGGTAGCCCTCTACTCACACAATTTAGCCCAATATTTCTGTTGCTAAGCGAGACAGTTGTTAAATGATTTTTTTTGCCCCATTTTACAACCTTTTTTGCCACAGTTGTTAAGTGAATCACTGCAGCTGCCAAGTTAGTAACAACGGTTGTTAAGTAACTCTGGCTTGCCCGTTGACTTTGCTTGGCGGAAGGGCGCAAAAGGGGGGTCAGGTGACCCTCTCGGGACGCTGCGACCGTCATAAATATGAACCGGTTGCCAAGCTTCTGAATTTTAATCGCGGGACCATGGGAACGTTGCAGTGGTCGTAAGCTAGAAAAGCAGCCCTAAGTCACTTTTCCCAGGGCTGTTGTAAGTTCAAATGGTCACTAAATGAATGGCTGTAAATTGTGGACTACTTGTAATACAGTTACTCAGCAAACATATCTGCAATTGAGCCCAAAATCTATGTTGCTGAGTGAGAAATTTGTTAAGTGAATTTTGCCCCATTTTACGACCTTTCTCGCCACGCTTGATAAGTGAGTCGCTGCAGTTCTTAAGTTAGCAACCCGGTTGTTAAGTGAATTTGGCTTCCTCGTTGATTTTGCTTGTCAGAAGATCGCAAAAGGGGAGCACAACACCCCGGGACACTGCAACCGTCATAAATATGAGTCAGTTGACATTGGGTCAATTACCAGGAGATTGTGAATTCTAGTCCTGCCTTAGCCCTGAAAGCCAGCTGGGTGACATTGGATCAATCATCAGGAGATTGTGAGTTCTAGTCCTGCCTTAGCCATGAAAGCCACCTAGGTGACTCTCGGCCCAACCCACCTCACAGGGTTGTTTTGTTGTGGGGAAAATATGAGGAGGAAGCTGTGTTGGATATGTTCACCACCTTGAGTTATTTGTAGAACTAATAAAGGCAGGATACAAATGAATAAATAGGATTAATATGGAAAAGTAGCCAAACACCTTTGGCATTTCTTCTTGTCTTGGACTGAGGTTTTTGATTTGGCAAAACATTTTGGCCTTATCAACTCCAGTTTGGCTTAGGAATATGAACAAGCAGTTTAGCAGTGTATAAAAATCACATTTCTGGACCGAAACATTGATCTATATAAGCACTTGAAGAATCCTTTAAAACACGCAAGCAGTAGATAAATTCACTCCTGTTACCCAAACAGAAATTTAGGAAGAATTAAAAATAATTACAATTTAGAAAATTCTTATTTGTACAGCAGTCTTTCACTTATTTAAAATCAAACTTCTCTCAGGCTGACTTTTATATAGATATATATAAAAAAAACCATAATACCCTTCTGATGAAAATTATTTGTAGAGGCATATATTGCGGCTCCAAATAATAGCGTACCTTGAACTCACAAAGCTGCTGGTAATTACTTGGGGCACATAGCTTATAATTTTAGGCTTACAACTATAGTTGAGAAAAAGTTTTCAATTCATTACCAGAAACCCGAATACTGTGCCAAAACAGGGCAGCTAATAAGCCTTAACCGGTGTGCGTTATTTCTCTGGCCCAAACTTTTAAAACAAAGCTTTACATATTTACAGCAAAATAGACATTTTTTTGAAAAGTGACCACTATTTTAAGGCTTTTCTTGTTAGAAAATATTTACTTAAATGTATATTAGAGGACAGAGTATTGACAAAATATAACCATGGTTTTACGCTTAACAAACCGCCATGCAACACACATTTTTGAATAATGAGGAAATAAATACACAGCTCTGATCTGTTTAAATGCATTTTTCAAACCATTACAGTCCGGTTTAATGTTTTCTCTCCCTTTTTTAAAAAAAAAATGTATTTGGCAGTCGTGGTTTATCCTTGACTCCCCCCCCCTCTTAAAATAATCCTGCGGATACGGGAATCTAGTCCGTAACAACTTGAGGTACTAAACACTTCTGCCTCACTTCGTTGTCTTCAAAAGTGATGGCCTTGCTTCTCTTGGGCTCAATCCATGAGTTGTGTATCACAGCGCTGTTGGGAATTGGGTCCGCTTCCACTATGGAGACGACGCGTTTTTTCATTTTGCTTTTCAAAACTTTTTGAAATTTCTGTCGGGTGAAGGCGTACAGGAGAGGGTGGAAGATGGTGGTCCCATAGGCCATGACTAGAAAACACAGCCTCAACTTGACCAAAAGGTCACTTGGGCCCGAACATAAAATGATCGTGTTTAAAACTGTGATCGGTGTCCAACAGAGAACAAAAGTTGATATGATTAACAGCGACATGCGGAAGACTCTTTTCTGCCTTTCGCGGCGTTCCCGGTGTCTCTTGACCGCCCGCCGTAGAGCGATGATCACCGAAACAGAAGTCCTTACCCCAAAGACCACATTTCTGCCTCCGCTGGCTTGCGATGCTTCGGTGGGTTCCTGTTGCGTAGCCAAGGAAATGGTCTTCTTTTTGACTTTTTTCTTCGGCCCCGTGGAAAACCGTGTGCCTATTCGGATGTTCAGGGCCTGAAGTATTTTGCTGTAGGTAATGAGCATCACCACCACCGTGAAAAAGAAGATGGGGATTTGCACCAACAGGTGATAGTACATGCCCAGTTCTGTGT